TAGAACGTCCTGGTGCCGGATCGACCTGGATGAGATGGGGTCCAATTTTGGGATCGATGGAACCTTTTTTAACCATCTTTAATACAGATTTTTCCACTTCCTTAGAAATTTCCGGAGTGGGGTCCTCTGTGAGCTTCCGATAGTGAAGAGGATTGTTTAGTTGTCTTAAGGACTCCTCTTCATGGAATTTAGTGTCCATTACGACAGTGGCAGAGCCTTTATCAGCTGGTTTGATGATAATATCATCACGCTGACGCAAATTGGCGTGTGGTTTGTAACGTCCTCCTCAATGGCCTGAATGAAAGTTTCTAAAGCTGGGCAACGATTCTTAGGGGGATTCCAGGTACTTTTAGGTTTGAATTTAGTAACATTGCCCGTGTTATCCGTGGTGTTGCCGTCGGAATCGGCGAAAAATTATATATATATATATATATATATATACATGTATATATACATATTTTTTTTAGCTGGTCTGAGGCAACGAAATCATAAAGAACCTTAAAATTACTTAATACCGAGTGAAAACTACTTGTGGACACAACATGATCGAGCCAACTCGTTGAAGTATGAGCATCATTGAAGTAAGTGAACGTGTCAGAATAAGTTCTAAAGTAATTAATATCAGTAATATAATTATTATATTCAGAACAGAAATTCATTAATTCGGTTCTAAACCTCTTCTTAGGGTCAGAGTTAAAATCGCACATAAAAACTACCTTATCAGTATCAAATTCATCAACAATAGTTGAAATTTACCAAGGCCGGTATTCAACAAATTCTACGAAATTGTCATCACACTGATAGGGTAAGTAGACATTAACAAATAATGTTTTATGGTGACCCTTTCCAACCTCAATGGCAACTAGCCTATTATCATTTAAATTAACATGTTTAACAATAGAGTTTTTTGCCCGACCCCCTTCAAATCGCCCAATATTTTGCATGTTGGGGGTTCTACCTGAGATAACCCCACAGTGAAATTTTTGGCTCCACGCCAGCATTTTCTGGTGAGTTAGAGCAATTTGAAATTTTCATGAGATTTGGCTAAAAAACTCACCTTCTGACAGACAACTGCTGATATCTCTCTTGAATCTCAACGTATCAGGCAAAAAAGTGTGTTGGATTCATATGCTGTGACAGGTGATCGATTCAGCAAAACCAATGGTGGGGCTAGGTTTTGGTGTTCAGAAATTCAGCATACAGCACAAAATATATTGATGACCAGTGGCATTTTCGGTATTTGTTTTTTGCAAAGTGGTACATAAATTATAAAGTGTATACCAACTGCTATAGACCAAAATAAAATCACTAAAACTATAGTCTAGAGAAAATAGGCCTTAGGTTATGCATCAAAAGTTGTTATTAGGACTTCCAGCCATTTTTAAACACAAATATCAAATGGACAAACATACTGTATATCAACAGTGGTTTTCAAGATATCAGAACACTGGGGCCAGCACCATATGGATATAGGAAAGCCTTGTAATGTGGGTCAAAGGCCAGAACAACATTTTCACCGCTTTTACCCGAATGATATAATAAAATAAATAGAAATATGTGTATACTGAATGGAGATCGACCTGTACAGCTAACACTTACATACGCATTTCCGATCATTTGTTAGAAAACTGTTTTATTAGACCACATAGAAACATGAATATTCCAAACAATTTACCACCAGTGGTTGCAGAGATACATAAAAGGACCCTATGGCTATGACACTGATGTCAAAGGTTAGCAACAGCATTTCCGGTCAATTTTTATTTAACTGCTCCATTAGACTGAACAGAAGCATGAATGTTACAAACAAATTGACACCAAAATTAGCTGTCTATCACCAGTGGTTGCGAAAATAATGACTCAATGGCTATGTTATTAACATATGTCAAAGGTCAGAAATACCATTTCTGGTCACTTGATAGCAAACTGTTTTATTAGACCAAAGAGAAACATGAATGTTTCAAACAAATCGATACCATCAATAACTCTCTACCACCAGTGATTGCGGAGATATAAAACCCTAATATCTATGACCTTGAAACATGTCAAAGGTCAGAAATGGCATTTACAGTCATTTTAAAATAAAAATATTCAATTATAGCGGTTTGGCGCAACGTGAAAGGCTTGGTTTCCCAACCTCGAGGTCGGGGTTTCAATCCCTCGCTGTGCATTTCGCTTGTGTCCTTGAGCAAGACACTTTACCTGCATTGCTTCTCTCCACCCAGGAGTATAAATGGGTACCTGGTGGGGTTGCTTGCTCCTGCGCTGAATACAGCAGCAACACTTAGCATGTGGATCCAATGACCAGGGACAGAAAGGCTTAGTATCTGCAAAGAAAGGCGCTATATAAATAAATATGATTAGATTAGATTAGATCATAGCAAATAGAGATATGATTGTTCCGAACAAATTGGCACCAATTAACGCTCTATTAATGAATATTAATCCACCAGAATAATGAGTCCATCCAATGTTAATCTACCAGATTAATTAGTCCATCCACTGTTAATCCACCAGATTCATGAGTCCATCCAATTCACCAGATTAATGAATCCATCCAATATTAATCCACCTGATTAATGAATACATCCAATGCTAATCCAGCAGATGAATGTGTCCATCCAATGTAAATCCACCAGATTTGAGTCCATCCAATTCACCAGATTAATGAGTCCATCTAATATTAATCCATCAGATAAGTTAGTCCATCCAATGTTAATCCACCAGATTCGTGAGTCCATCTAATTCACCAGATTAATGAATCCATCCAATATTAATCCACCTAATTAATGAGTCCATCCAATGCTAATCCAGCAGATTAATGTGTCCATCCAATGTTTAATCCACCAGATTAATGAGTCCATCCAATGTTAGTCCATCCAATGTTAATCCACCAGATTAATGTTTCTATGCAATTTTAATCCTATAATTTAATGAGTCCATCCCATCCACGTGTAATAACTTTGGATGTTTTGTGTGGATGCCATATACAGCCTATTGACACGCCATCATGGGCTTTGAATTTGTTAAACAGTTTGGTTATCTTCCAGTCCCAGATATTTAACCGTCCATCTGCGTCCCCAGAAACAACATAGCTAAATAAAAAACCAAAACATTTTGTTATTCAGTGAGGTCAGCAATGTGCATTATATTAAATATACACAATCTAATCTACCATAATAATGTGACTTTGTTTTACCTCATATCTGGTGAGAAGCCCATCTGACATGCGTATCCTGCAACCATGCAGGCTTGTACCAGGGGGATCGGTGGGATCGGACGATCCCGCCCACAATATAGGAAGTTCCGGTCTACCAGACCAACATAAAACACAACTTTATAAGTGCAATTTATGCACTTTTGTACTATAATCTCAGATCCGATAGGGAGTGGTATGAATACAATCTTTTAATTTTGACCATTAATAACCATTAATGTGGATTTCATGTTTAGTGTGTATATAAATATACCATACAGCCTGCATCCTGATTCTAAGTTTTTACTCTATTCACACTATTCTATTTTGTACATGCAATAGAAAGCTCAATTTAAAAAAAGAATACTGTACTTAGTTAATGGACTCAAATAATGGAAAAATATGTACAACTTTTGTTGTTTTAATAACATTTCACATCATTGTATTTGCATTGCAAATTATTGTTATAAATTAGTAGTAACAGTAACATTCAACTGTAACTCATTCTTTGGCCAATAAAATTATAATTACAAATAATCTAGTATGTACATCATCATTGAATCTAAATGGGTTTTTTTTTTCAAACATCTATGTCATCATTGAATCTATGTCATCATTATTAGAGTGGAGTTGAATAGCTCAGTGGTTAAGGTGCTTGCCTGTGATCCCAAGGTCCTGGGTTCAATCCCTGTGTCAGCAGGACTTTTTCTAACAACTAAAAACAACTCCACTTCCTAAGCCTCATAAAGAAACTTCGCTGATAAAAGCATCACATTACTTTATTTATCTATAGAGGGCCCATGAATAACAGCCGACCTTGTAGAATGGTCGCTGGAAGGGTCACCCTTTATAAATATGGTTTTAAAAAAATTGTTCAAAGCCATGCCAAAAACCCTTATTAGGGAGATAATTAAAATGGACAATTTCACATTTTTGGTCAGCGTATTCTGAATAGTGGTACAGGGGCACACCCATTAAGTGGACACTTTTTTTGGGTCTTGAGTGTGTCCCTTAATACATACATTACGAAAGCTGGTTACGGGCCTACCATGTGACCTTTGAAATTCTTCTTACAGTTAAGACGCAATCGACTCTCTACACTGTATATTAGAATTTGTTTGTGTCCATTAATTGGAAATCAATGCTCCAGCAATGTGCATTATAATTAAATATCAATAGTCTAACCTACTATAATCAGGTGACTTTGTTTTACCTCATATCTGGTGAGAAACCTATCTGACATGCATATCCTACAATAATGTGACCTTCGAAATTCTTCTTACGGTTATTAAGACACAATCGATTCTGTGCAGTAATTTGCTTCTAAATTGATTGGAAAGCAATGCTCCAGCAATGTGCATTATATTAAATGTGCATTATATTAAATATCAATAATTAAATCTACCATAATCATGTGACTTTGTTTTACCTCATATTGATCTGGTAAGAAGCCCATCTGACACGCGTATGCTGCAACCATGTGACCTTTCAAATTTTTCTTACAGTTAAGATGCAATCGATTCTGTGCACTGTATATTAGAATTTGGTTGTCCATTGATTGGAAGCCTAACCACTTACCTATATACATGAAATAAAAAATATAAAACTACTCTACAGATAGAAAATATGGATTGAACTTGCCTAAATCAAATTTAAAATGTCATTGAAAAATTGTTCGACTTAAATAAAATTTGACTTTACAGATAGTTAATTATTGGAAAACACATTAATTTTTACTTCATGTGTTTGAACAAAGAGGGGGGGGGGGCTGCTCAGCCACCATGAAAACCTCCCTTGTTACGCGACTGGGTAACACTATACTATGGCTGTTACGGATAACCATTGGTCCATAGAGTTATTGTACAGTACTTTACCCTACTTACTCAATCCATTGCAACTCAGTTGTGGTGGCAAAACAGGTGTGGGGGGGGGGTTCGAGGAGAAGGAAAATTGGTGAGAAGGAATGATATTGGAAAAGTTTTTGGCATAGGCCAGACTAAAAGTCTTGTCTGGCGAGTCATGGCAGATGGAACTTCTATTCACATCCAAGGGGTTTTAAAAGCCCCTCCCTCTCCTACCCCACTGGTGCTGCCACTGCTGTACTGTTGTTGCATGATTAGAAGTAATCAACATTAAGTTACAGAACAATACAACTCTTACCATTGGGACTGATTGTCACACTAGGCATTGGGTACATGTTTGGTTCTGCAATATATTTGAAATCCACCGGGATATCCCACTCCCAAAGCCGGATGCTTTTGTTGTATGACCTTGTCACAAAACATCGATTCTGGTCAACGAAGGTGATCGTGTTAACAGCACCAAGATGGCGTTCGTACTCCTGAACGATCTCGTTCACTCGTGTATCCCACTGTGAGGGTATTATATGACAAAGCAGGAATATTAATACCAATTGATCAAAAGCTGACTAAGTCACTTACATACCTGACATAATATAATGCTTTAATACAAAAATAAAAGTGGTGTTTTATTATAAAAATTGTACGCAAATTCATCTAATGTCTCTAATCTAAAGTCTCTAAAGTAGTAAATTCATCTTTAATGAATAGGTCTACAGTATTCATTCATGGATTTATTCAGAAATTCAAAAACAAACAGAACAAACAATACAAATATAAAATTTATACAAGAAATTTTCATTAATTAGCAATCATTCTTATATCATTAAAAAATAAAATATCATTTACAGATTAATAAAATATTTAGATAAAAAATAAAAAGAAAAAATTAAAAGAAAACAAATTATATATAAAAAAAAATTAAAAATTAAAAAATAAAAAAACAATTCCTCTGTTAAATTTTCATTAAAAATTGAAAAAAACTATAATTGCACAAGTCGAACATTTGTACATAAATATTATTGTCAATCGCTATATGATTATAATCCTTGCAAATTATCATTTACAGATTAATTATTTTAAATATTTCAATAAAAAAAACATCAATAATTCCTCAAATAAATTCCCATCAATATTAACATTAAAAATTGAAGAATGCAATTGCACAAATTGAACTTTATTCCTATAAAAAAAATTCTGTCATTCGCAATTATAATTAAGGAGTGTATAATCTTTGCAACATAAATATCAAAAT